GGACATGAAAAGTCATATATATACTAATACAATTGTAGTGGGGGACCTCAACACCCCACTGTCACAAATAGATAGATCGACTAGACTAAAAATAAGTAATGAAAAAGTTATAAAATATGCCTAGTTTACCAGAAACAACAATTTCATATTGTATTCACCATTCAAGTTGACATCTCCGGCTTGCAGGAACTTTCATCACAGTTTTATGAAGCTCCTTCCCCCATCCTGAGTGAGGAGGCTTTCATAACAGGATGCTCAGTAAGTGTTGAGCAAATATATAATTTAAGAATGATTATGGGCTCATAAAGGCAGTGTAGATGGACATACAATGACCTTGGAAGCAATTCAGAGATATTCTTGTTTGAAAACTTGAGTAGGTGATATTGTTTAAACATCACATTATCTGAACACTCAATTTTCTATGGCATCTAATGCATGATGGAAGGAAATTCTGTGCAGTTCATTAATTTGGGGGAAGCCCCAGCTGGGATGGGAGAAAGGGACCAATTGTGAAGAAGGGCAGTGGGAAGACAGGAAATCCTCAGCGGTACCTTTCCACTTGTCCTCCTGCAGAGTGGAGGGATGGGGGAGGAGAAGGCTACTGTTGTAAGTAATCCAAGCAGCCAACTGCTCATAGAACTAGCCGCAGTGTTTGTGTGAAGAGTGTAATTTCTGATGAGAATAGAGACAGACTTTTTTTTTAATTCAAGGACTTTAAAATGAACGGTGGGCAATTTTAATCATAGGGTTTTTTTTTCTTTCTTTCTGAAAAAAGAAAGAGACATTTCAATTTTAAATTCGGTGGGTTGAAATGATTGTGTCATTTCAGATACTGTGGAGCTTGTGATCCTGTGGCTATGCTTTTGTTGTGGAAAATATGACTTGTAAATGTAACATTTCAATTTTTAAAAAGAGAATAATTTCTATTGTGGGTGTTGTGCCTCTGCAAGAACACTTAGAACTTTGCTGCATTTAGAAAGAAAAAGTAAAAATATCAGGCATCATATTTACCACTGTCATAGAAGTA